TAGTAATAATAATACAGAATCATCTTCAAGAGAATCTGACTTAGGTCTCCAGTGGCTCTCAATGTATTTGCAAACTAATGTACAAAAAATGCACTCTGCATATTTAGAGCTCCTACAATGACTGTACTTAATGCAGTGGCAGGATGTTGTGCACAGAAATTAGTGTCAACTAGACAGTACCAGCATCCTGTTTTTAACACTGACTGTCTTTACACTTTGGGCAGAAGGACATCCTCTGACTCACCGTAGAGGAAGCACTGAGAATACGACATAAGTGGGTCTCTGGCTCGGCTGTCATCCTGTGAGGAGGAAAGGGGAGAGAAAGCAATGTAATACTGAATAGAAGTGATTGACAGCTTGAGACTCAATGAACAGGGCTGTGAGGGGGAAAGATTGGTGTGACTGGCACCTTGTAAGAGTAAAAGGGAACTTTATGAACCACATGAGACCCACCAGCAGATACTTTAAAACTGCAGATCTATATTTGTGATTCAAAGGTTACCTAAATGCCGGTCTGAATTCCAAGCAAATGTGTAGACAATGGAATATGCAGGCATCTTTTTTTTCTCCCTTCCATGTAATCATGGATGAATCTGGAGCAGAATGTAGCTTGCGACAGTAAATGTGACATCGTTCTAAGATGTGAAACATTTCTTCCAACTTTATGGTGACTTAGACACTTGAGGAGGACATTGGAGCTGTGAAATGGAAATAAGCATCCGTATTTTTAGCTGTCGATAATGAGGTTACTGTTCTCTCAACAGGAAGCTTTCTGTGGGAGAGGAGGTTGATGCCGAAGATGAAATTAGAGAGGGACAAAAAAATCTAATTAACAGCATCTTGATGGCCATAAAGCATCTTAGCGGTGATGCTGATTGAAGCCATCATCTTTAAATAGATTCAGTGATACTAATGTGATTGGAAATTCTTTTTATACTTAAACCCTCTTCAGAGAAAAGTCAGCATCAATAAGGAAACAGCACAAATGAATCTCTGATTGATGTAGTCATTAAACACTGGCCTCGCTACAGACTTGGATTATGTTGTAGAATTTGAAATTTCTTCCTGACATAGATCAACGACGGTACATGAGCTCATAGAGAGACTAATATTGTGTGATTGCTAAACATGAATTTGACCTGTATTTTGAAGTAAAATCAATTTTTAGAAAATTTTTCAAGTGCTGTTACTTTTTAATAATGGTTATTTTCATTTACAATACCAGACTACAAACAAAAACTAATTTTGGTTTTTGAGTTAGCCTCCCACATCTTAAACTTCACACACAAACAACAGGCCATGACGCCCGGTTAAATGGCTATTTCTGTACACCACAATATGACGAGATGAGGAGATGAAGAAATGAGCAGGCGACCAGATGCTGTGCTATGCTTTGGCAAAGGAAATTGCATGTCTAACTTTGAGCTGTTTTCACGCCATGACCACAAACTATGCATGTGTCGATCACATGCATGTAGTGTTAAAAAATGACATAATTTCAATTGCTAGTCAGAGGTGGCAGTGACTACAATATACAGTCCTATTTTAAGTCATTGTGTAGCAGATTCAGTTGGCTTGGGGGCTATTTGTCCTTACAACAGTTTTAATCATCATTAGTGTGTGTTCTTGGAAAATATGACATGTTTAGGAAAATTAGTTTTTTGTAGCTTTCCTCTCCCACCAAATCAAAACAGTATTTGATCCACATTAAGTTTAGAGTTAAAGGAGTCACTAAAAGTTGACCCAACAAATACAAATCTGTTGCGGTGCAACATTGTGCCAACAGAGGGCGCCAGACAGTGACGGCGGCTGTAATCCAAGGCAGATACCACTGCACAGAAATTCCCCGCTCTGGCTGAAATGACATCAGCGTCTCCTCCCACCAACCAGGCTCCACTCCCGGCTCCCTGCATGCAGAGATTGTGTATGCTCAGGAAGATGTCATACTCAACAGAACTTTGGCCCTGCATGCACACTTCCTGTGTAGTTTCTACCTGTCCTGTTAGGCTGCTACTGACTGGGGATCCCCATCTCAGCTTCTGTTATTTTCCACAAGTTACATCATGACATTAATGCTTAAACTGGGTGTGTTAGCTTGACTGACTGGCTCATTCTGTTTAACCTCCACACAGATCCTGGAAACATCCTGGAGAACGCCATTTAACCAGGTGACTCTTTATCTACCTGCCAATCTGACAGAGCAGAGGACTGGTGAGAGAAGGAGAAGTGCTCGAGAAGTGCTATACGGTGAATAAGGACCAGTGTGACAGTGGAAACGAGAGGTGTTGTCCTGGTCCTGTTGTGGATCACAGCAGCGGTGGCTGCAGTGCGGTGCTACCTGTGTGAAAACCATTTGGAAACATGGACAAAATTTAATGAACTTAAAGGAGCTGATGGCATCACATTTCACTGGAGTTGTACCTAGTGTAATTCTGTGTGACAAATAAATGATTGTTTGATTGATTTTGAGTGATATGTCTCGACAATTGTGAATTGCTATGAATTTGCAAAGATAGCCTGCTCTCCGAAAACTTGGGTCTTCAACAGAGAGTCCATGACCCCTAGGGGGTCATCAGAGTTACTGCAGGGGGGACGTCAAATCACCTCTTGATAGTTTAAGTTTTTAAACTTTTTCTTTTTAAGAGTTAATGTCTGAAAATACACATTAACATGAATCCCACATATTATTAGCAGAGATAAATCGGCCTATTCATGAAACCTGTTTAATTTATAGTACACCCATGAATCCTCCCACCCCTCCCGTACTCTTAAATCCTCTTCTGCAATCCAGCTCACATCACCATCGGCCTGACTGACCACCAGGGGTTTTAGAGCCTTCCGCCATTCTGCCTCTCGCCTCTAGAACTCTCTCCCCAACGCCATTAGCAGTAGTGACTCCCTTTCCACCTAATATCCCATCTGAAAACATATCTTTTTAAAGCAGGCATGTTAGGTCTGATTTAATGGTGACACACATATTGAGACTTGCATTGATAACAATTTTATAATGACGATTATATACTTAATATTTATAATTACGATTTTTCATTTCATTTCGTTTAATTAACTTTTATTGTATATTATAGAATTGTTTGATATTATGATCTATGGATACATTGCTGCTTGTTTTTTTTTTTAACTGTGTCTTGTAAGGTGTCCTTGAGTGCTTTGAAAAGGGGGATTTATACTTGTGCGGCAGACCCTACGCCATAGCCTATGCAAGTGGCCTACGCCGTTTTTATTGTTTATTGTTTACACACCCGAAACACACATTAAACATGGCTTAAAAGAGACAATTTCAAACACAAGTACACAAATCTGCTTTACAATAACTCGCAGCATTCACAGACAAACCACACTCTTTATTTGAACACATTTTCCCCACAAATACAACATGCTAATGTTTTTAGCACAAGCCTATGGCATTTTACATTATATAAATTAGCCTAGCAGCAAGTGGACTTTTTTCTCTTTCATATGAAGCCAGGGACAAAAGCAACATTCAACAAAGGTAACGTTTCAAAACTCGGCTCCATTACAACTCACAAGGTTCACCGACAAAACAGCTGTCTTATACTAAATATGTTTTCCAAACAAGTACAACATACTAATGTTATTAGCACAAGTCTATGGCATTTTACATTGTATAAATTAGCCTAACGACGAGTGGAGATTTCCTCTGCTCATATGAAGCCAGGATAAATCACACACAAGACTTAAAATGCTGTTTTGGGGGGCTTTATTGTTTTCACAATTTATTGTCTCAACTAGAGAGTGGATACCCGACCTGAGCCCGACGGAACCAAACGGACCTGTCAGAACCCAGTGGGCCAGGCCGGGTTCGGATGACAAATCAGTAATTTTTCTCGGGTTCGGCCCACTTGACATGCTGCTATGTTGTGCTATGGCCTATTAGAGTGCTGGATTTTTTTCATTTAAGTGACAACGCCTGAACGCAACACAGGCCAGTAGTTACATTTCAGGCAAACTTGCTATCAGGAAACTTAAAACTGCCAAAAACCATGCAGGGAAATCAGTGGTATGGAGGCATTTTGATTTAGTGATCAATGCAGGTGATAACGAAGCAGTTGGTTGTGTGTGTGCTGTGCTGCGCTGCTGTGCGTGTGGCGTGTTTGTGCGTAACAACAGCCTTTTTTAATGGTCATTTACACACTGTCCGTGTGTAATCACAGTAAACAGACAAGCTGTAACCATGATAACAATAACTGTGTCAGGTAACAAACTGCGTCGCTTGGGTCAGGTTCAGACATAAAAATCAGAAAGGCTGTCGGGGTCGGGCCAGGCTCTGTTTGGACAGTGAAAAATGCGGCCTGAACTGCGCTCTAGTCTTATCTGTGAAATGAAAGTAAATAAAAGCTTTGTTTCCACTGAGGGAAATGGTTTTCAGCTTATAAAAATAGACAGGAAGTCTGCGTCACTGTGACATGTAGTTACATTTCTGGGGAGGTGAACTTAAGGCTACGGTGTAGGCTCTACATCGATGTATAAATCCTGCAAAGGACTTGAATAAATAAAATGCATCATTATTATTATTATTATTATAGCCTGCTCAGTGACTGGTTGCAGATATTTAGCCCAAGATGTAAACCTTATTTGTCCCATTTCACCTGATGTCCTAAATTACCTGACTCCACCCTAAGACAGCTGAACAGAATACCTTTAAGTTCAGTCATGGTTTTTGGTTTTGTTATGTCCCATCTGGCCACCCGTATGAAAAACTTCTGGGGTCGCCTCTGTGCAGCACCTGATGAGATGCAACAACCCAAACTCTTTCCAGGAAAAAACGTCTCTAGAAACAAGCTCAGAGTGAGCCCTCTTCATCTCTGTCTTCATCTCTGCTGTAGAGTAACTCACCGCGCACCCGCCCCCCGCAGTGTCAGCTCTCCGCTCCGGCCTTCTGATTGGCGGAGAGAGCCGTCAGTCAGGGGATTATCCGTGTCTGGGTAGGTTGATTACGGTCCGCAGCGCTGAGCCGAGCGGGGCTGTGCAGAAAGCAGTGCATTTAAAACCGCCCAGGGAAGACACCGCATTTACGAGGCTAGTTTTGTTTTTTTGCTGCCTCCCTCCCTCCCTCTTCGCCCCGGGTTGACTCTGTCCGGACAGCTATGACTTGGTGGAGAGGAATGCAGCACCGGTTCACCTGAGCGCGTGCGTTTTTCTTTTTAACCCCATCAAACACTTACTCTGCTACTTTTTATTTCACTTAATTGGATGCCGTGTCGGACTGCTGCTGCTGCTGCTGCTGCTGAAAGACACAGGAGGACTCTTGCTTGTGTCAACTTGTTTGCCTTAAAATAAAGAGACGCAAGGTTATGTAGGTAGGCGCTGCTGTGGGATACACCTCCGCCCCGCTGTTTACATGTTGTAATTGGATTTTCCATCATTTCCAGCAGCAGAAGCAGCACCAGCACCACCACCAGCAGCAGTAGTAGTAGTAGCAGCTCGGGGTTTCCTCCCTCCTCCTCCTCCTCTTGTTCTTCCTTCTCCTGTTGGGAGCGTTTTGCCGGGTGCTGGTGGTGGTGGAGAAGAAGATGGGACTACCTGCTCTGGAGTTCAGTGACTGCTACCTGGACAGCCCGCAGTTCAGGGACAGACTCAAGTCCCATGAGCTGGAGCTGGACAAGACCAACAAGTTCATCAAGGAGCTGATTAAAGATGGCAAGGCGCTGATCCAGGCTTTGAAAAGTAAGTGTGTGACATCACTAACATTCATGCATGCTCTAAATATTGACAAAAATCAGTTTACTGCATGTGGCTTCTCAGAGTGAGTCACAGAAGGCTCTGACAGAGTCCAGATGCCTTCAGGTGAGTGTGTGAGAAAGAGTGCTATGGAAGCCTTATCTCAGTTGCATTGGCACCAGATGAAAAGCCCACACTCTTTGCTATGTGTGTGTGTGCGTGTGTGTGTGTGTGTGTGAGTGTAACTGATAAAGCACATTTCAGAAGCTAAGAGGCAAGGCGGGTGAATTTGACTGAGCCCTGAAGCTGTCAGCTCATTTGTCCCCATCAGCTTACATTTTAAGGCATTTAGAGGGAGAGAGGGAGTGTGTGTTTTGCTCACACTGATACTGTGTTAAAGGCTGTGAAGTTGTTTAATGTTGATAAGGGATTTAACCACCAGATCATTGTCCATGCTGTGAAAGAGCTTTTATTAATGGCTTGAGGAGTGAGGAGGTGACTCCAGGTGAATAAAAGCTGGACAGATGGGTAGCAGGGCAATGGGAAGGAGCATGATGGTTGTTTTCAGGTATAGCAAGACTAGATATGATTATGTTTTTGTATTGTAGGAACACACCTTAGGCAAGGTTTTTTTGATCCACAAGAGCACAGCAATGGGTTGTTTTGCAAAATATTTTACACAGTGTATGAAACTTCTCGTTGACTTTCAGAATTGCAATGGCCAAATGCCAAATGTTAACAAGGACTTTGGTTTCTAATGGTCTTAAACGCACTTACCCTCAGTTCCAAGAACAATGTTCAGGAAGAAGCAACTTAAGATTGAGTAGAGATTTAGTATGTCCCAATACATATGCCAAAAATGCCAGGATGTCATACTATATCCGGTCCGACCCACAATCCTCTGCACTGTGGACGATACATCACATTGACGGAGACGAAAACAGATGACAGTCGATTGACAGCTGACTGAAGCCACAATGATGGATGACGTTAAAGTGACTGCTGCCAGTAGAATAGTAACAATAACCATAAATAAAAACAAAAGGGCAAAAGTATTAAATAACAATGACAGAGAAATGCAAATATGATTTCAATGTCGTGAATATAACATGTTAGAATCTACAATGTACGCAGTTGTAACTTATTGCAAAGTAAAAACCAACAGCTGAGCGTGATCTTTGTCTCAGGCAAGCTCGGTGAAGGCATTTTGTTTTATCCCTGAGGTAAGAGATATATGAAAATGAGGGTCAAAACTCAGGGCGTTATGTTATTTAGAAGTGGTATGTCCCGATTGTGTGCATGCTGTGTACAACACATTTTAAGGACAGCTGCAGTACATACTAAAAGTAAAAAGAAAAAGTATGTGTTTGGAACACACCCTATAACTTATGTGTAACCAATTAGCTGAAAAACTGTATGTGAGATATACATTTCATTGCAGGGTTTGCTGCTTACTTAGCCTACATTCATTCTTAATAGGCTATTCTCATAGAAGATTTGCATTTGCACGAAAACAAGTGTCCAGTATTCACATGGGGGATCTTATCAACTCATCAAGAATGTTATTGTGACATGACACTATGTGAGCCATGACTAAAACCTGATGCTAACCTAAAACAAAACTTTAACTGAAATAACTTAACATCACATCAGCCACCCCCCTCCGATAAAGACAAAGCTATCGGTTGTCTAATCAATGAAACAAAATAAAATGTAGGACTTTTTGTGCCACGTTTTATTTTGTTTCATTTTGTTTCATTTTGTTTCATTTTGTTCTTGGTCCATGTAGTAGCTGTTGTGCTCTTGGAGATTGTGTCACAATATTCCTCAGGAAAAGGAGTTGCATGAAGTAGATATTAAACGTTTAGATTTAAAGACAGACAGTTTCTGAGGGGACTACGTGGTGACATTATTCTTGATATTTAATATCAGCTAATGAATATCCTCTGGTAATATGAAAGGGATTTGTGTGTTTGACTGTTGTATAGTATTAATGTAGATTTTACAGTCATATGGTCCAAATCCTGGTTCAAATGTCTCCACTCCATCAAAGCACAAGATCTTCCTATGGAATTTTCTCTGGCATATAAAAGGGCGGATTAATATGTTATCCATATACTTGTAAGTCTTTTCACTTGTACAGTAAAAACAAATCAGCTGTTTCATATCTAGTTTCATGGTGCCACACTGTACATGCACACTCCTGATACTGTAGATACTATTGTGTTTTGGTGTATAGTATTATTTAAACTGCTAATATTCAGATCCAGAGTCTAGCCGGCAGGTTAACCTGAACTTTCCACCCCTGTGTTATTGATTGTACCTTTAAAAACAAACCAGCTCAGTCCTCTGTCACCACAAAGCTCGGTCAGCTGACGTGCGGCCACAAAGACAATTCTGCTTTTGTCCACTGGTGAGATCTAGAAATCAAACAGCATGGCCTGATTCACTGCGGCCGCGATGAGAGTGAGAGTCATTTGCTTGTTCTGTGCCATTGTAGCAGGGCGCAGCTGAACAAAGGACAAGTCAGCAGATTTTCCTGGTTAATCTTTTTATACCTGCACTACACAGTGTTGCTGCCCTTTGCTGGCATACGAGATGAATCAGTTACAAAGGTCTTGTCTGACAGCACTTTGAAGTTCTCCATGCATCTGTGCTGTAAATCTTTTCTGCTGCATCTTTCAACGCACCTCGACCTCCTCTGCTTTGCTTGAGGCACTGAGAGGATGTGTGACCGACCGTCCTGGGAAGACCCTCAAGTTTTGTTAGTCACTAATTGCTGCAGGAGGAGGAGGAGGCCCAGAGTCTCCTGACAGCTTTCACATGTGTTTTTGTTGTAAGGACTACATGCATGTTACCACAGGAGAAAGTGAAACATTTACAGCATGCTACTCAGAAGCCTGTTGTTATGTCTCTTGCTTCTCCGGGTTTTAAGTTTAGTTCAAATTGCTGTGTGATGACCTGTATAGGGTTGGGCGATATGATGATAGAGACTAATGAGACAATGAAAATGTAACTAATGTCAGAGATTTTTTAATACTGTTTGTAGGAGTTAAATGTCTCAGACGGTTCACTCTATAAACAAATATACATATTGTCACTCTTACCTGTAGTGCTATTTATCAGTCCAGATCGTTTTGTGTGATATCGCCTGTAGAGATATCAGCCTTCTCTCAAGTATGATAGAATTAGATGATCTGCTTGTAGTCTCTATAAACAGACTCTGTATATAGTCTGTAGGCAAACCCCAGAGATCTTGCCTCCGGAAGAAGAGTGGAAGAGCCCTGGTTTCCAGTTGTAGGCTGTTTGTAGTCCGCATGATGTTGACCAATCACGTTTGAGCCGGCCGCAGTTGTTGGCAGGTTAAACAGTCCGTGCGGTGAACTAACGAGGCGGAACATAACTGGCGTCACTGCAAACTCTGAATCCATCGCAATGGTTCAGCATATTTACTTATATATAAATGGAAGTCGGAAACGGAAATTCACCTCCTCCGCCCAAATCAAACTGGAATGCCAAAAAATCGGGGGTCTGCCCCCAGAGTCTGTATCGCTGTCTGCCGGAAGTCAGACGCCAAATACAGCCGATGGGTTCCAAGAATGGTCTGCTTGTGATGTTCAAAGACCCAAAAATAAATTTGAAAAACTCAACAGCAATGTCTCTTTCCAGAAATCATGACCCGGTTACTCAAGATAATAAACAGACCCTGTTGTGAGCGGTTTCACATAGGAACTGGTTTCCCTCTGCTGAACTACACCCGCCAACTGTATCATTGTGCAGAAGGAAGCGTGTATCTACTCATGGGTGAGGAGCTCGTGCTCTTGATAGGGCAAGATGTAAACATTAATGGCATCTATGCTGATGTGTAATGTTAGCTAGCTCAGGTGAGTTAGCAGTATTGTACTATTGTTAAGAATATTATCGTCCATGAGTAGATGCACTCTTCCTTCGGAATGATGATATGGTTGGCGTTTGCCTTTCGGTAACAAAAAAGTAGTTCCTACATGAAACTGATTTCTGGAAACAGACATTTTTGTTGAGTGTTCCAAATGTACTTTTTGGTGCTTTGAGAACCACAAGCTGAATGCCATCTTGTTTGATTACATTTGAGAGAAGTCCGACATCTCTACAGCTGATATTTTCAACACAATGATTGTCACACCAAGACAATCTAAACTGACAAATAGCACTACAGGTCGGAGGAAAAACATCTGTTTTTGATTTTGGATGTGAACAGTCTCTTTAATGTCTGTGGTTGTAATGCTCTACAGAAATACTGGGCTTTTGGGATTTTTGAATCAGTGTGATGGAGTATGTTTATTTGTCAGGTATTTCATTGCTAATTTTGATTTAATTTTGTGTTAAAAACAAACATTCAACCAATTTTGTCTTTAAACAGTTCAGTTAATTGGATTTCTGGGAAGTTTACTGTATCATGTTGTATATTATCAGTATAAAATTACATACATATATTGTGAGTAATTTTATATTGACGTGTACCCTCAAATGCCAGTTTATGGAGTACAGAAACAGACTCAGAGATGTGTTCATGTTATTTAGCCTCTCTGTATTGATATGGATGGGGTGGACACAACAATAGGAACACCTGTTTGTATGAATCCGCTTTTATGTCTGGAATCTCCCATCTACATTGGGCTTGAGATGTGCCCACGTTGAGAACTTGGCTCAGATTCCGGAGTTACTCCCTTATCCTTAAGCCTCCTTAAGGAATCTGATCCCGTTTGATTAGGCGGTGGGTACCTCTGGCGAGTGCATGCCTTTGCTGACGTCGACCCCAGCAAGATTCACATGGAAGACGAGTGCTCTAACCACTAGAGAGGCTCTGAACACCTGTCTGTATAATGCAATATGATTCAACATCACCACAAACTGCAGGCCCCAAAATGACCATAGTGCATTCAACACCTCACTACATTATAACCTTCATGAATGTAGAATTTACAGCAGGGGTCTTAGACTGCATTAGTTTTAGCAAATAAACTGGC